AACAGATATACGACTTTCAAGACCAATTTAAGGAGCAGAAAGGATAATAAAGGATATTCCTCTGGCACTGGGAATGCATGACATTCCTCAGGTCAACAGTCCTCTGGCTTTTACTTTACTGAGAATGTGATGGCGAAGAGATTTTTTTCTGTTCCAAATATGACAAGTCAAGAGGCTTCTGGTGGAATGCAGGATAGAGGTTACTGTAATATGTTAGGCACAGGTAACCTTTTCTAGGTATGGCGTACATTTTTGGCTTTTTTTTTTTTTAAAGTAATCTAGGTCCTACATTTCATCCACTTTGGATTGAAAAGCTTCTAAATTCACTTATTCCGCCATCCAGTTAAAATCTTTTGACAATTAAGCAATCATTTCCTGACTTGCCAAGGATTAAATTTAGATGCTTGGCTGAACATGAGCCTTATCTCTCAAGCCATCACTTTTAATTGGAGCATGTAAAAGGATAACACAGGGTTGTAGCTGACATCATAGTCTATCGCCATGGAAATGTAAACATGGGTTTGTATTGAGCTTGTCTCAGAGCAAGTTTTAGGGGTACAGAGAGACTGGGCGATGGGAGATAAATTAGGTAAAAAACGTATGCCATAGATGTTGGATTGCGCTAGGAGTTCAGACCTTCAGTGATCTCATCCTGCCTCAAGGCCTCAAATATCCTTGACACACTGCTGACACTCAAATTTCTATCTCCAGCTGGTCCAAACTCCTGTAATCTGTCTTCTTAACGGCCTCAGTTGGATCTAACAGGCAACTCAGATCTCACATGTCCATCCTGAGCTCCTGATACTGCCCTCTCCCCAGCCAGTTTGCTGTGCTCCCAATCTTGTTTCTTGGCAAAGGTTAGCTTCCCCTTCCACAGGCAGAGGCCACAGAACTTGGGAGTGATCCTTGACCCGTCTGTAATCCTCAACGAATCCTGTCCGCTCTGCCTTCAAATATATAATAAAAAAGATGCTCGCTTCATCTTCATGGACTGCTTTCAGGTTACTGTCATTTCTTGCCTGGATTACTGTAAAGACTCTGAACTGGTCTCCCCCTTTTGCCCTTGCCTGCCTTCAGTCTGTTCTCACACAGCCCCCACAGTGATGATATTAATATGTAAATCAGATTAGGTCACCCCTCTGCTCAAACCCTCCAATGGCTTTTCATCTTATTCAAGGTATGACCCCAAATCCTTTAATCATTAATTGCCCTCCTCCCTCCCTTTCTTGTTCAGCCACACTGGACTCCTTGTTCACTGATCGTTAAGAGGCATGCTTCCGCCTCAGGCCCTTATGCTCTTAAGCTGGTTATCTGTATGGCTTGCTTCCTTTCCTCCTTCACGTTTTTACTCAATATCACCTTCTCAGTGAGGCTTTCTATGGGCAACGACCTAAAATTACTACTCCCATCTCCCTTTCATACCTTACTTTCCTCCTTAGCATTTACCTAACATACTATACGTTTTACTTATTTCTATTGATACAGTCTCTTCCATTAGAATGTGAGCCCCACAAGGCAGGGTCTCCTGGCTGTGTTTTTCACTGTTGCATCCTCTGCACTTAGGGAAGTCCCTGGCATATGTAAAAAGTCACTAAATATTTGTTGAATGAATATGAGATGGATGATATATGTCCTAAGAAATAAAGATGATCAGTGGAAGCATGACTGGCAAAGATCTGTGCACTTATCTCTAAAGAAGTTCACTTCTTGTTGGGTTTTCATGGAATCCTGTCTTTGGAGGAAGTCTAACTTAATTTTCCACAAGCTTGACTTCTCTTATCTATGCACTGTGGAACTTCAGAGATGGGTGTTCAGGAAGAGAATGACGGTAAACATAGGTGGGTATTAAGCAATGTTCATGGTTTGCCATGTTGGACAAGCTAATGATATTTTAAAATTATTAGTACACAGAGCTTACTATTCATAGCAAACTGAAATCAGACATGAAAAGAAAGTTGCTCATTGATTGAATTAGCAGTGTCTGGCACATAGTAATGTAATATATAAAGTGAATTGGATTGGGTGCTGTCCAAGAGGGCTTGGTTACTGAAGTAGTTTTGTTTCTGAAGTGAGTCTGCGGTATAGGCAAGGGTGTCCAGGCTGTGTCCAGTGAAACCAAGAAATAAAGGGACAGTCACGGAGATACCATCTCTAGACTTGATTATAAATCCTTAGTTTTATCAGCTTACAAAGTAAACAAGGCACACACTGCAAGTTTTCAAATGAACTGCAGATGAAAAGGGCAAAAATACCAGCCAGAGATAGAGGTAGAGGCAGGATGATATAATGGAAAGATAAAGCTTGGGAAACATGGGTTTCCAACTTTCTCCGTGCCACTAACTGGCTGTGTGATTTGGCGGTGGGGTGCGGGGGTGCAAGTCATCTAACAAGTCTATTAGTTACCTCACCTGTAAAATGTGGAGAATGGACCCAGGGGCTTCAGTGATCCTCCAAGTTCTAAGTATTGGAAGATTTTTAACTTTAAGCTTCGTCATTGTGGTAAGTAGAATAATGTCCCCCCACTCCTCCCCAACCCTGCCCCACGGATGTCTACATTCCTGACCCCCAGAACTTGTGAATGTTACGTTACATGGCAAGGGAAATTAAGGTTGCTAATAAGCTAAATTAAAATAAGGATATCATCCCGAATTATCCATTTGGGCCCAACATAATCACAAGGGTTCTTATAATGTGGAAGAGGAAGGCAAAAAGTGAGCATCCGAATGATGCCATGTGAGAAGCACTTGACTGACCACTGCTGGCTTTGAAGATGGAGTAAAGGGCCATAAGCCAAGGAATGTGTGCAGCCTCTAGAAACTGGAAAAGGCAAGAGAACAGATTTCCCTTAGAGCTGCCAGGAGGAACGCAGCCTACAGAAGTCTTGATTTTAGCTCAGTGAGATCTGTGTCAGACTTCTAACCTCCAGAACTGTATTAAATTTGTATTATTTGAGCCACTAAGTTTGTGTCAATTTGTTATGGCAGCAAGAGGAAACTAATGGGATCATGACATATACCCTAACTAGCAACGTTGGACCCAAGTTTATCACAATGAAGGATTTTAAATAAAAACAGGTATTTTGTAAAGATCTTCAGAGGCAGGAGTAATCAGAAACCATAAGTAGTTTGCAGAAAAGCTATGAGACAGTCTCTAAGGGAATAAAACTTTTACTAGTGATTCATGAGAAGTAGACACCTGGTTATTTTACAAAGGAAAGAAAATGGCGAGAGAAGAGAAATTAGAAAGGTTATATACAATGTAAGAGTTTTTTTATTTTTCTGTACCTCAGTTTAACTCTTTTATGAACTAAAGAGGTGGAATAAATGCTAAGTTCCTCTAGATTTTGTTTGTTTGTTTGTTTTGTTTTATTTCTTAAAACAGAGAGGGAGAAAGTGAGGGAGGGAGAGAGAGAGAGAGAGAATCTTAAGCAGGCTCCATGCTGGGGCTCAATCCCACAATCCTGAGATCATGACCTGACCTGAAATTAAGAGTCAGATGCTTAACTGATGGAGGCACCCAGGCACCCCAAATTCTTCTAGCTCTTAAATAAGATTTTAAAATCCCGACAGATGCTACATGAGCCCTTGACACTCCATCCCAACTACGAAGAATATTCATTTTATGAGATATTGTTATCCTTAACGTTTGATGGTCAAGCTTCACAGAAAGCTCAGACTTAGTTTAAGAAGAAAGTTGCTCTGAATTTTAAACCTGACATTTATCCAGGTAGGGTGCACGGGAAAATTGTTTAGTTTTCTGACTCTTTTGCCACTGCACCTATAAAAGTATGTTTTTGGCAATCACTAGCAGTCTCTCCCCCTTTCTACTCTTTGTCTGGAAATTTGATAACCTAGCTTATAAATAATTTAAGCAACAAAAGACTAAATTGGTTACATACAGACCCTGGAACTATTTTCTAAAACATAGGTGGGGCAGAGATCTGGTGACTTGATTTTCTCAAGGCCTTTTTACCTGTTTTCAGGCTCTCTGTTATCCTTTGAAAAAGCAACGTTGCAGGACAGATGAGGTCTTACTGTAGTATCCCTGATCATTTTAAATTTTTATAATGTAAAAATAGCATTTCTGAAAAACCAGTCACAAAACTATTAAACAGAAGCAATCTGAATGGTAGAATTTTCTTGGAATATCTGATTTTTTTTTTATAATGAACATATATTATTGTTATAGTCAGGAAAGCCATTTTCTTTCCTTTTTCCTTTCCTTCTTTTCCTTCTCTTTCTCTCTCTCTCTCTTTTTCAGCAGGCTCTAAGCCCAAGGTGGGGCTTGAACTCATAATTCTAAGATCAAGAGTTGCGTGCTCCAGTACCCAGCCTGCTAGGCACTCCGCCATTTTCATTAAAAAAAAAGAAAAAAGAAAAAAGAAAAAAAGAAAAATTAGGGATCTCTCCAACCAATGTATTTTCAGTTAGCATATTTTCATTATTTTATCACGTTTTTTAATGTTGTAAACTTTGTGTTTATGGGTTTTTGATTCACACTCGGGTTGCCATAAGATAACCCATATACTGATCCACATAACACCGAAAAGCAAGGAATGCCAACAGCCAATACGGTGAAAGGTGACGCCATGAAAGATCGATTGTCTTTTGGACTTTTTGACCTCTGTTCCACTCATTCAAGTTCAGACGACTAATCCCCAACCTGGTTCATGTCACCGTTCACAAAACACTTTCCTTCATTTAGTCATCACAACAACGCCGGGAGGTGGGCACGTTCTCAGAGATAAAACGACTTGACCAAGGTTCCTTAGGCTAGTCAGGGGACAGGCTCGGCCGACGGGTCGAAAAACCCGAGCAGGTCTTCGCGGGCGCTTCCAGTAACAGGAAGAGCTTCCACTACACCCTGGCCTCTTACGTTCCCGAACTTGACAGTTCGGCAGCTCACCCCCAAGCGGGCACTCCCCGTCGCCGAAGCTCCGGTGCCGAGCACGGTCCGCCCCCTCCCTCCACCGCAAGCTCTGCGTACTGAGCCGGACTAACCTGACCAGGTCGGTCATGCAGGAGCCCACCACTACCACCGCCGCCACCTCCTCCTGCCACTGCCGGCCGGGTTCCCCAGATGCGGCCATGGCCCAAAGGAGGTGCTCTCCACCCCGGAGGCTGACCTTTGCCCTTTGCCCGACCCCGTAACCAGGAACGCCGCTCCTACGCTCCCTAACGACGCGGGCCTTCCAGACGCCTCTGCGGGTCGCCCACCTGACTGCCCGAAATAACCCCTCCCCCAGCCGCCCTCTGTTCTTCCCGGGACGGTCTCCCTGCACCCTCTCTCGTTACAGAGCCCTCCTGAGAGTTCCAGACTCCACGCCGCTCGCCACCCACGAGGCGGGCGCGGAGGAAGGACCTTTCAGGCACGGCGGGGACGCCCTTCCGAGTGCCCGGCTTGGCGCGTCCGGGGGCGCGCACGCCGCCCGGCTCCAGGACCGCAGAGGGGGCGGGGCGGGACGTCCGGGGGCGCGCACGCATCCGGCTCGCGGTGCGCGCGCAGGTCGGTGCGTCGGTCGGGGGCGCGCTCGGGTAACCTGTACCCCACGTAGTCGCCGGTTACCGATCGGACTAAGTTCCAGGTACCTGGACTGGGGCTGGTGCGGGGAGGTTGGATCCCGAGTCGCACAGGTGGCCTGTGCACAGGATCGTGGTTTAAGTATGCCCAGGGCTCGCCGCCTCTTCCTATAGAGAAGGCCCCCGTTCTGAAGATGCCCTGCTCATCCCCATCACGCTGGTCCCCGCAAGAATGAGACACCCCCCCCAAGGCCAGAGGCCGCTCTTTTTGCATATCTAGCCCGCCCCCTGCTCCCTCAATAACCTCAGACTCCTTTCTTCCGCCCGCCTGAAGAGGGGACCATACAGTTTGGGAAAAGGGAGAGTATCCCATTTTAGATGGCCCCTAGAGTGGGGTGGTCATTCTTTGGGTCCGAGCCGACTTGTTTTTCTTGAATGTTGCCCCTGGAGAAATTGCTTCCCCACTTACTTCCCTCGTGCGCTTTATGACGTTGAGGTGACGCAGCAGGACGCCACCCCTTTCCGTTCCATGACGTCAGCAGGGCACACGTTTCCGTGTTTGTCATCTCATTTTAATTGCGAGATACTGGATGATGCCTTAGACGTCTTTGTAGTCCCCATGCTGCCCCTTCGAGGACCTCATGTGACCCTGTTTCGAGCAGCAGGCCCTGTAAAAATTGTATTTCTGCATTTTCCTTTTGTAATACGTCAAAATCAGGAAATAGAAATTGCACAGCTAGCACTCAGGGGAGGCGGGCCACTGTAAATTTGTGCCTAGCTGGGATCTATCATGGAACTGTGATGTGTGAAAGCCACCATTGTAGGTGTTCCCCTGTCCATGTCCCTGGCTCAAAAGGATCACACCAAAGAACCATCATCTTTGGCTGTTTGGTGACCTCTGGTTTTGGAGTATTTATTTCTCCTCTGTCTTAGAGAAGTCACTACACTTACGGTTGAAACATTTTAATGCTGCAGGAAGTCTTGCACTGTCAAAAAATAGTACTGTAGCTGTTCTAACACAAAGAAATTCCTTCAGGTGTTAGTCAAAGGTCCTGATAGTTGCTGAGTTGGAATGGGCTGTTGTCACCTTAAGTATAGTTTGGCTTTTGGTGCAGGTTTCTTCCCTGTGGCATTTGACTGGCGGGTCACTCAGGCCAGCTTTGGCAGCAGACCAGCTGTAGTCAAACGTGTTTCTGGTGGTCCTGCAACCATTTGTTCAAATTTGTAATTTTTTTTCTGTTCCAGTTTTATGAGTTGTACACTTTAAACAGGTGTCTTTGATGCCTTTCTCTTCGGTAATTGCAATTATACATGCTTATGTGAGAGGAGGATGGGTGTAGTGGACTTTGAGGGAGATCTGGATTTGAATGCTGGTCTTTATTCTTGCTACGTGTGTGACTTTGAACAAGTTACTTAGTCCTGCTGCGCTTTAGTTTTCCTATCTGTGAAATGGGAACAGTAATAGAGAACAGGGTTGTTGGGGTGAAGTAAATGAAATTACAGGTAGAGGTGGGTGATAGAGTGCCTGATACTCAGTAGATTTTTCAGAATGTGTTAATTCTTTTTCCGTTTTTCATAGAAACGAGAGGTAAAATAATGATAGGTATTATGGGGAAAAGCATGGAAGAATAATTTTGTAATGTAAGTGAGATCCTTTGCTTTTTTTCCAGATGAGTATTTCTGTGTTTTGCATATGATCTAGATAAGCATCCTTTCAAGAACTGTGACATCAGTGGATAGAAATAAGAATGGAAATGTCACAGAATAGGAAAAAAATGCTTCAAAATGCTAATATGGGTTAGTATGCTGTTCAAAGACAAATTACAGAAATTATCCTTATCTCCCATAGAGTGGGAATTCTAAAACCTGCCTACACTGCCCAGGATTGTGAAGATCAACTGTGATAATGTTTTTGGAAGCTCTTTATAAGTGGTAGTGTTACAAAAATGTACAGCGTGGTTTTTATGATTGACAATACAGGACATTAGATGTTTATTCTTACCTTGTAGTGACTTTGGAATGGTGGGGAGAAGTAATCTGTTAAGTGGATGGAAGAGGAGTTTGTTTTATATTTGCAGAAAGGATGATTTGAGTACTGAAGTATACAGCCTCAAAGGTACTTCTGGGTGTCATCACCATATAAGGTAGCTAAATTATTTTTTGAAAGATCATTGCAGTCCTTCCCTTTATTACTATCCAAAGTGATTAAAACAGGTACTGGTTTTCAACATTTCTTTTGGCAGAGACCTCTAAGTCCCCATATGGTAAAGTATATGAAAACTAGGACTAGGACATCATTTCCTTATAGTTGTAACTTAGAGGAAATTAATTTGCTTTTGATGAGGGATTATCCTTTCAGATTGAGGAAGAAAGTGACTATTTAAATGGACTTACTCACCTCTGAAACTAGAGGTTTTCATTTAGAAATCTGTTTAGAGGAATTCATGCATTCCTTCCCCTAGCCCCTGGGTTTCCAGATAATTTAGACACGCTTTGTTGGTTTTACTTCTGTATTTTCAAGTGCAAGAACTTCTTAGTGCCTGAAAGGCTAAGACTTTTAGATACATGTTTGTTTGTGTTGGTTAATATCCGGATAAGTGTATGTTTTCATGATTTAATTGTTAAATAGCTTTTTAAAAAAATATTTTCTTTATTTATTTGACAGAGATCACAAGTAGGCAGAGAGGCAGGCAGAGAGAGAGGGGGGGAAGCAGGCTCCCCGCTGAGCAGAGAGCCTGATGTGGGGCTCGATCCCAGGACTCTGAGATCATGACCTGAGCCGAAGGCAGAGGCTTCAACCCACTGAGCCACCCAGGTGCCCCATAAAATAGCTTTTTGCTACATATGTTCCTCAGATACATTCTCCTCGACCAGATTTTTTTGAGGGGATATTGTCTTCTCTCCATACCTTAATATTTCTTTAGTTTTTTTGGTCTCTTTATTCATTTGTTTATTTAAAGATTTTTACTGGATGCTTAGTATGTACCAGGTACTTTTGTTAAACACTAGGGATTCAAGACATAGTCCCTGCAGGGGAGAGATCACAAAGCAGGTAGTTAGTTATAACACACTGTGGAGGGACAGTATATCAGAAGTAAATAATTTCTCGTAAGTAACAATTATAAGTAGGTTATGCTTATTCTTGAATTTCATATAGTATTACCAATCAAGTCCTTCTTGTGGGGACACCAAGGGAGCGGTTCCGAACTTAATGGAGTGTACATTTTGTGTGTTGGGGGAGAGGATTGTTAGTGAAGGCTTCTTAAGGCCTCAAAATAGGAAACTGTCAGTTGTAAGATAGAGTGGGGTAAATTTAGGTCGCGTGGGGCAGTGTAGCAGTCAGCTTTGGAAAGGAGGAGGGAATTGGATTGAAGGGCTGCTTCTGGCCTGAAAAGCCTTGGTGCTGTCTCTCTCCTGAGGAGGTGAGCAACAGGGGTTTGGTTTCTTCTGAAGGGGAATTGGAAGAGGCCGCTATAAGACAGGAAGTAAAGTATTTATTCATGCAAGAGAAATTTCCGTGTTGCTGTGCCAGTTTTCAGGAAACCCGTTCTGTCTAGTTCCTCTGAATACTCTGACCACCATCCCTTCCTTCTCCTTTCAGTGTGATTTGCAAGTCAAGCCAAAATGTCCCCAGAAGTGGCCTTGAACCGAATTTCTCCAATGCTGTCCCCATTCATATCTAGTGTGGTCCGCAATGGAAAAGTGGGACTGGATGCTACGAACTGTTTGAGGATAACTGACTTGAAGTCTGGGTAGGTACCAGCACTACTACAACTAATGCATCAGACCCAATCCAGCCTTCACCTACTAATAAACTTTTCCCACCAGATTCATCAAAGTTGAACACCATAGAAATTACATCAGGTCTTGAACTTAACACATGTTGATGCAGTTGGTTTTGTCCAGATCTTGATGTATTATGTTTCAAGCTGTTTTATTTGTGTTGTGGGCCATTGCTTTATGATCACAATGTTCATGTTGTCTTCTTATTTTATTTATTTTTTTGGCATGTCTCTTTGTTAACAGTGTGCCATGTGTTTTTTAGCAAGTGTGTTTTTCATTCATTGACTCAGTTTCTTGTTACGTCTGTTGCAATTCAGCATGTACTCCTAGAGTTGGGTTTTGGGATTCTGAATTTGATATCATTTGGTAATCTCTCCTAATAGGAAAATTAGAATAGCTAGCCAGAATGAGTCGTTTTTCACAGTGGGGTTGAAATAGTAGTATCTGATACCTGGAAATGTTGAATTAAAAAACCCCAACTTTTTACTTCAAAATAAATGTAGATTTACAGAAAATTTACAAAATTTGACAAAATTAATGTTGCTATAATGCTATTGATTGTTTTACAAGCATTGTTTGAATTTTATGACTTGTTTCACTCATGCATGTCCTTTTTTTGGCCCAGAATCCAATCCAGGATCCAAACTGAATTTAGCTGTCACATCTGGGTCTTCTTAACCTGTTAATGTTTCTGTCTTTCTTTGTCTTTCATGGTCTTGACACCTTTTTTTTTTTTTAGAGACTTTATTTATTTATTTGTCAGAGAGAGAAAGAGAGAGAGCATGCACAAGCCAGGGGAACAGCAGGCAGAGGGAGAAGCAGGCTCCCTGCTAACCCTGGGATCCTGACCTGAGCTGAAGGCAGGTGCTCAACCAACTGAGCCACCCAGGCGTCCTGATTTTGACACTTTTGGAA